CTTTCACTATCTTACGGAGTTTGCTCAAATTAGGGAGTGTTACTGACTCCATGGTTTTTGTTTCACAAAAGGCAGTATGAAATCTGTTCCTGACTTCTGCTGAAGTGAACAACTGTAATACGGAAGACCCTTTTGTATTCTATTACAAGTTCAGCACTAAAGTGATGTTGCCTTTATGCTTATATTATACATAGTGGCTCATTGCTGGGAGCCCTGCCTCCCACATAATGAGCATTAAGCTGAAATACCTGTGTTTACCTCCCAGGAAACAACCTGACCAAGCCCACCTGTCAATGACTGCAGGAAAGAAATTAACACATTCCCTTCAGAGGCTGATGTGAACCAGGAAAGGTTTGACTTTACTCTTTCTCCTTTTAGTGTAAACCAAGCCTGAATTCTAACTCAGGCAAGATGGTTCTTGGGGACATGAGTCCACCATTATCTTGATCTACCAGCTTTCCAAACAAAATTGCTATTCCTTGCCCCAGCAACTCATCTCTTGATTTATTATCGGCCCATCCTGTAGGAAGCAATAGGACTTGGTAACATGATGACCCTACCTATGTCTAAGGCCTTCAAGTGAGTGTCAGCTCACTGGCTGGTGCTGCTGTATAGGTAACAGTTTACCAGAGATCTCTTCCTTGCAGACGAGGCAAAGTCTATGCCAGTTGTAATGAGCATAACTACCTGTACTCAGGTGTGTCCTGTGGGGGAGGACAAAAACTTTATCCTTCTAGGTTCATCTGGCTGGTTAAGAAGTAACTTAACATGAGACAGATTAACAGGAGAAAAGCAAACAAAAGCTTAACAGCATGTATACTTCTGTATACATGGGTGAGAACCAGAAAAACTGAGTAACTCACCAGAATGGTTGAAACCCTCACCTTAAATGCCATCTTCAGCTAGAAACAAAGGAGGATGTTGTGGGTAGTGGTTTGGGACTAGAATGTGGAGGAAGGTGATTCATGGGGAGATGGAAAAGCAAGTGTTTGGAACTCTGTAAATATTTGTAGTTCCCATGACCATACCTGGCCCACATTTTTTCTCAGTATCTCTGGTTGTAGCTGTCTTCCTGGGCCAGGCCCTTTGTCTAAAATATTCAACATTTAAGGAGGCAGTTAAAAGAAAGACTTTGAGTCTTTTTTGTTTCTTAAAAATATTCTGCCTAAAATCATTCTCTTGCCAAAGAGACACATTTTGGGGTGACAAATTTTGCTTCCCTACAATACCCTGGATCAGGTAGAAAAGGTTAATATGGAAACCCAAGGAGGAAGCCACCTTGCTTCCCAAAATAGTCCCTAAAATTTGGGGGGACTTGCTTAGATTCCTGAATCTAAGACTTGGGGGAGTTCAGCTGAGACCAATTTCTTTTGCTCAGTACGGGTCTTGCTGATTAATGTTGCCCAAGACAAGCCAAAAGGATTTGGTGCCCATCAAGTTCAAGTTTCCTTGGACTGGTTACAGTGGCTGCTGTTGGGCCTAGAACTCTTCTAGGAATGGGGGAAATTGTGGGGAAATAAACTTCCCTGGGATTTCTCAGCGGTTTTGTAAAAAGCCCAGATCTTCTGAGACTCTTCAGCACAGACATCTGCAGCTGTTCATCTAGTTAATAGCTCCAACCTGAAAGAATTCATAGTCTCATCTCCCCAACGAGCAGGGGAGACCTACAGCCCAGAGTACGTCCCCCAAAGGTGCTCCATCTCCCTAAGAATTTATATTTTAAGAAGGGATGAGGCCCAGAACCTTGGAGACTCCAGATCACGATCCTGGAGAGATTTTGTTACCAGCAAAGCCCATAAACAGTTACCAGGTTAAACAAACAAACAAACCAAAAAACGATATTAGGAATAAAAAATACTAACCTCCTTTCCCTTGTGCTTAGTCTGGTTTCTCTTGCTCACAGGGCGATACCTGCAGGGGCCTTGCTCCTGGCCCTTCAAAGCGCAGCTGCTGGTGTGAACCGGCTTGGCCGATGCTCCTGCTTGGGGTAGGGGGGCCGTGTGCGTAGATGCTGCCAGGACACCTTAATGCAAGATGGCAACGAGCCCTGTGAGCCCCGTTATCTGGAGCAGCTGCTCCCAGAACGCTCCAACTCCACCGCCGCCCCGCTGACGAGGGCCCTGTGGAGCAGCCCCACCGCGGCCTATTGGAGAGCGTGGGCTGTGCAGGGGCGCTCCCACCTTTCAGTTCCTTTGCCTCTCAACACAACTCATTCCACTGGCAGAGCGACACTGGGCTGAAGGCCCCTTTTGGGGTGGGTACCAGCTTTACTTACGTATCAAAGGCCAGAGTAAGGAGGAGATCCTTCCAGGAGAGGAAAAGGCCCTTCACAAGCAGCAGGGACAAGGTTTCCTGCCGTCCTGCCCTGCTGCTGTGGACAGCTGACCTGCTCTCAACACACGGCCCCAGGCGCAGCCCCGGGCAAGGGGGCAACACCGGACGTTTACTGTGAGATATTTACTAAGGACTGTGTCTCTGACGGCAATAACCTGTCCGTGCCTTCAGGACAGAAGGAACGAATACTGAGAGCCCAGCCAAAAGCAAGAGGGTCTCAAAGAGGTGAGTGACAGTGAACGCCAAGAGGAAGGAGAAATTCAGACAGACAAGGACTGGAAGGTGTGGCTTTGATTCAGTGAGGCGGAAGTCATCAGTGACTTGGGAGCAGTTTTGAGGAAAGAGAGGGAAGACAGTCTAGAGTTGCTAGAGATACAGGCAAACCTTTCAAGAAGTTTGTTGTGGGACCTAAGATTGTCTGGTACAAGTGAGAGGGGAAGAGCAGGGTGAGAAATTTATAGAAAGGAGATTTGAAACCATCATCAGAAGATACAAATTAACGAAATAAAGTAGTAGGATCACTGGGCAGTGCAGCATGTGAATCGCGGGGAGAGAGTGAGGGGGAAGGATCAGCAGTCTCACATGAAACTGGAGTTCTGCCAAATCAGACACTGAGAAGACAGAAGGAAAAGGGGATCAGGATTAAGTGAGCATTAGTAACTTGTCAGCTCTTGGAATTGTGGAGGAAAACACTTCCTCTACCCTCTTAGGTTCTGTGTTTGGGAATCTGCCAATTGTTAAAAGCAGATAACCATGAGGAAAAATACTTAATAGCTTTCTAGCAGTCATGTACACATGTGACATTTGGACCATAAAGCTGAGCACCGAAGAATTCATGCTTTCAAACTGTGATGCTGGAGAAGACTCTTGAGAGTCCCTTGGACAGCAAGGAGAACAAAACAGTCAATCTTAAAAGAAACCAACCCTGAATATTTTCATTGGAAGGACTGATGCTGAAGCTCCAACACCTTGGCCACCTGATGTAAAGAGCCGACTTATTGGAAAAGACTCCAATGCTGGGAAAGATTGAGGGCCGGAGGAAAAGTGGGCGACAAAGAATGAGATGGTCAGATGGCATCTTCGACTCAATGGACATGAATATGAGCAAACTCTGGGAGATGGTGACAGACAGGGAATCCTGGCATGTTGCAGTCCATGGGGTCACAAAGAGTTGGACATAACTGATCAACTGGACAATAACAACAACATGCAAAGCTTCACACAGAAATGTGACTTGAAGGGGAGGCTACAACTGGGAGTTGGTATACTCCTTAATAAATGACAGGGAGTAGGAGATAAAGGCATCTTCTGAGAAACAGGTGACTTGGGGGAGGACGGGCACTTACGGGAGAACAAATAACATTTTGAAAAGATAAATGGTACTTTAGGAGGATATATGGGAGATAGGGGAGTTTTGTGAAAATGTCTGTTTGTCTGGTGCTTGGAACTTTTCTCTAATTTTAAGACATTTTCCAAAACTCAAACAACAATAGATAGGTTGATAGGTAAAGCAAAGGTGAAAAGCCTTAGGCAAATCTTATTTATCTATGAGGAACTTTTCCCTAATTTTAAGTCTCATTCCAAAAGTAAATCAAAAGTCAATTAAAACCGACTCAAACGCATTTCTTTTTAGAGCTGAATAACACACAACTTCTTTATCCATTCATCTCTTGATGGACATTTAGGTTGCTTCCATGTCCCAGCTATTGCAAATGCTAGGAAATACACAGAACGAAAAGAATGAAAGAAATCCATAGACAATTTCAGATTTTTTTAAAGCTATGGACATAATTGCAATGAGCACTGGGGTACACGTGTTTCTTTGGAATTTGCTGTATTTGCACCAGAGAACCCAAAGCTGGTGGTTTGTGACAAACTAGAGGGCAGAAATTGGGAGGGAGGTGGGAGGGTGGCTCACGAAGGAGGGTTCATATGTATATCTATGGCTGATTCAGGTTGATGAATAGCAGAAACCATCACAATATTGTAAACTAATTATCCTCTGATTAAAAATAAAAATTAGGAAAAGCTAATTCATTTAAAAGGCAAAAAACTCAGGCAAATCTTATTTCCCCATGAGGAAAGATCTATGAATCAGTGTTTAAAGTTACATATAGCAAGTTTTATGCCACTATTAACAGTTACAATACCTCAAAACATTGACAGTACCCATAACAGCAGTAGCTAAATCTTTAGGTCTCTATGTATCTACATATAGATATATATATAGTGATAAAAACTGGAAAATACAAAAAAGCTGTCAGCCAACACCACTGAACAGTAGCGACAAGTTTGGCTGGCTGAGTGCTGCTTAAACAGCTGGCATCAGGGCTCAGTGTGAGCTTGTAGAGGGCGTCTCGGGTGGCTCTATGGTAAACAGTCCCGCTGCAGTGCAGGTGACTCCGGTTGATCCCAGGGTCTGGAAGATCCCCAGGAGAAGGGAATGGCTCCCCAATCCATGATTCTTGGCTGGAGGATTCCAGGGACACAGGAGCCTGGTGGGCTACAGTCCATGGGCTCGCAAAGAGTCAGACACGACTGACTGACTAACACTTTCCCTTTGAACATGGAAAACTCAACAGTGCTGATGTTTCTGCTTAAAATTAAGTCAGATGCAGAGAAACATGGTTTAAAATGCCATATAAATTTTCATGATACACACACAATACAGAAATATTTTCCTTTAATAAAGATTTTCTCATCATTTTTAATGGGAAACAACTAAAATCCCATGGAAACAGTCCAGTAGGGAAATTTTTACTATTGAGTTTTCAAATCATATATTTTTTTCCTTCAAAATCTGTATATATTATTTTGATGTCTCACAGGTAGGTCCTGATATAGATTTGATCTGCCTGTAGATAATACAGAGGACACTCGAGAGAATTCAGATACAAATTCAGCAGCACCTGGAAAGAGACAGAATTCTATTCTTTATCTAAAATACTTGAGCTCACAAAGTATTAGCTAAAACAAACAAACAAAAAACCCCTGAGACCTAGTGTTCTGAAGCATGAAACATATCTGTATATGACATGACACAAAACACAAGGTAACTGCATTCTCTGCCCATGGTCGCTCGTGTGGCTGAGGATCAGAGCCTCTGGCTTCCTCCTGCTTCATTCATTTACTCAGGAACTATGCGCAGAGGTGCTGGGACAAGCACTGGAAGTACAAGATGGAGGTGCCCCACTGCGCCCGGAAAACGACACGCTCTAAAGTGGGAAACGGGCGAACGGGCAGCTTCCACACAGACTCATAAACTCTAAGACAGATACAAAAGACGGCCCAGGGACACTCAGAAAGGACAGCCAGCTTCGTGTCAGTACTGCCAGCTTTCTGGTGGAGGTGCTATGGAAGCAGATACCTGGAGGACAGGAAAAAGTACAGGAGACGGAGGGGAGGAGCACGTACAAAGCCCACAGGTGAGGACACACAGCTGTGGGATCCTACAGTCTGGCTGGTTAGATGCAGAGCTGAGGGCAGAGGAGGGTGGTAAGAAGATAAGGCCGCCTACTCTAGCAGGACCCAAACTGATGTGGGTGTTTGGAGCTTTTCCTGAGGGTGAAAGATAAACTGGGGGCAAAGTCAGTGACAGAGAAATTTTAGTCACCCACCGAGTGACAGCTGCACACCCGTGACTGTTGAGTCTGGGTTTCCCAGCCTTAACTGCCACCAGCGCCTGAGAAGCAGGTGAACACCACATTTCCTGAGAATAGTGTCAGGTGCAGGCAGACAGTTCCACAGGGATGGAGGCAGTAGAAGAAGGAAATAGCCAGAAGTAAAAGAAATACATAGACCTTTAGAGATTATTTTTCAAGCTATGGAACAAGATGAATCAATGAGGAAGAGGATATTTTTCACTATGACCGCTCATGCGTTCACATTTCTCATTAGCTATGTGTAAGAAAAAATATTTAACATGGTGTCTGCTATCCAAACAATGGAAAGAGATCCCATTTACTGCCTTCGGTGTATTTCAGAAATCAATGTCCAAATTTAATTCGTACGTTTTGGCAACATACCTTTCCTTAGTTCTCTAGTTACACTCCTGTCCAACTCCCGCCACATCTGAAATAAGTCCAATATTATTTATGTTTAAGATAAACAAGAGATACTATCATAGGAATGACATCAAACTTACTAAACGTGACCTTTAAATAATACTTTTAGACACAAGACCTAACCTCAAGATTACTTCAGTAGAAAAAAAAATTACATAAATAAAAGAAAATGAATTCCTACTTATTCTCCTTATAGATAACAAAGCATATTTATGGAATGCTATTTAGGTTAACTGATAAAAAGTACAATAAATATCAGTCTGTCGAGTACACATAATTTGAAAGAATTAGGGGATGACCCATAATCCTAGGAATGACCCACAACATTCCTATCTTCTCCCCTAACAGCTCCTGCCCTAAATATGTACTGAGACCTTTATTTTGATTTCTAGGTGAGGATCGCGTTCAAGTGGAGGAAGTAGTCTGAAGTCGAGTATTAAGAATGAGAGCACATCTGTGGTTTTCTTTAAAGTTTTCCATTTATAGAAAAGACAGAAAGTTGAGAAAATTTACACACAAGAAACAGTGTACCAGCAAGTTTCAATTCTGACAACATTTAGCAAGAGGGATTCTCTTAGCAACTGGAAAGAAAAAGGGTTACATTCTTTATCTAAAATACTTGAGTTAACTAAGTATTAGTTTAAAAAAAAAACTTGAGATATTTCTAAGTGTTCCAAAAAAAGAAACATATCTATAGATGACAGGAAACAAGATACAAGATTACAATTACATAAACTGCCCATGGTCACACATGTGGCTGAATGTCAGAGCTTCCGGTTTTCTCATTCTTCATTCATTTACTCAGTAACTATGTGCAAAGGTGCTGTGACACACACTGGAATTACAAGACGAAGGTGACCCAGGCCACCCTGAAAAATGATATCCCATAAACTACAGAAACAAACAGGTAATTTCCATGCAGAGTCATAAATACTAAGATAGAAAAGACGGCACAAGGAACACTCAGGAAGGACAGCCAGCTTTGTGTCAATACTGCCAGCTTTCTGGTGCAGGTGCTGTGGAAGTAGATACATGAAGGACAGGAGAAAGTACAGGAGGTAGAGGGGAGAAGCACGTACAAAGACTGGAGGTGAGGAAGCGCTCCTGTGGGATCCTACAGTCTGGCTGGTTAGATGCAGAGCTGAGGGGCAGAGGAGGGTGGTGAAGAGATAAGGCCAAATACTTTGGTAGGACCCATACTGATGTGGATGGTTGGAATTTTTCTTGAGGAGAAAAGACAAACTAGTGACAAAATCAAAGTCTGGGAAATTTTAAGGTCACCCATCAAGTGGCAGTGACACAGACATGACTGCTTGAGTCTGGGTTTCCCAGCCTTAAGGACTATAGGAACTTGACAAGTTGATGAACTCCATGTTCTCTGAGAATAGTGTCAGGGTTGCAGGCGGATACTTCTGCAGAGATGGCAGAAGTAGAGGCAAGATATGGCCAGGAAGAAAAAGAAATACATACTGTCGTGATGACTGTAGCTCTGTAGTATAGTCTGAAGTCAGGCAGGTTGATTCCTCCAGTTCCATTTTTCTTTCTCAAGACTGCTTTGGTTATTCGAGGTTTTTTGGGTTTCCATACAAATTGTGAAATTATTTGTTCTAGGTCTGTGAAAAATACTGTTGGCATCCTGATAGGGATTGCATCGACTCTGAAGATTGCTTGGGGTGGTATACACATTTTCACTATTTTGATTCTTCCAATCCATGAACATAGTATATTTCTCCATCTATTTGTGTCATCTTTGATTTGTTTCATCAGTGTTTTATAGTTTTATATAGGTCTTTTCTTTCTTTAGTTAAATTTATTTCTAAGTATTTCATTTTTGTTGCAATGGTGAATGGGATTGTTTCCTTCATTTCTCAGTTTTCTCATTGTTAGTGTATAGGAATGCAAGGGATTTCTGTGTATTAATTTTATATCCTGAAACTTTACTATATTCATAGATTAGCGCTAGTAATTTTCTGGCGCTGTCTTTAGGGTATCCTATGTAGAGGACCATGTCATCTGCAAACAGCAAGAATTTTTCTTTTCCAATCTGGATTCTTTTCTTTTTCTTCTCTGGTTGCTGTGGCTAGAACTTTCAAAACTATTTTGCATGGTAGTGGTGAGAATGGGCACCCTTATCTTGTTCCTGATTTTAGAGGAAATGCTTTCAATCTTTCACCATTGAGGATAATGTTTGCTGTGGGATGAGAAGCGAGGAGATTTACCTAATGGGTAAGTTTGGGGCAAGGAACTTCTCCAAAAGTGCTTGCTTTGTTCCAGATCTCTTCTTTGAAAAGATGTATGTGCCCACAGCACTGTGAACTTGGGTCTGCAGTAGGCAGCCTGCCCCTGGGATGAGCTTCAAGCATTTGCTTCCTCCTCTTAGGCCTGCGTGGGCAAGTCTCTGACTTGGGATGAAGTGTTAGGAGGTCGTGTGACTGCACAGCTAAAGCACATCCTCCAGTTCCATGGCTCTCAAGTACTAAGACCCAAAGTGGCCACAATGCTGTCGAAGAAACCTTAGATTGCTCTTCTATGATGCCGAGAAGCCAAATGAGAAATCAGGTTTACTACTTTTCTCTGCATCACCAGCATCATGAAATCACCATCAAAGTCATAAACCCATGTGCACTGACTGAAATGGATATTTCAATCACAATGATTACACAATGAAAACTAGCTGCAATTTAAAGAGTCCCCATCATTGCTATCTCAGTCACCATTCATCCAGGTGATTTCAAGACAGAGATAAAAGTGAGCTTCATTTACAATTTATAAATATTTGATTTAACTACAAACTTAGAAACATTCTACAACTGCTCAGCAAGATATTCTTTGGAAACTTAAATTAAAAGACTATAAGTAAAATAGCAATTAAAGATGTACTCTTGTATAAGAAAATAACAAAAACTCATAACCTAGAACCAGAAATTAATCTTTTGACTTAGCATCACAAGTTTGTTTAATTCATGAAAAGGTTTCTCTTTTGATTCTTTCAAATAAAAAAATCCACATGTGGTTACTGTTTAGATGCCAGTCATTCACGTATGCTTAGGGGTAGAAAAACTGTGGTGGGTGCAGCAGAGCCTGGAAATGATTATGAAGCACGGCCAAAGTGAAAAACTTAGAAAGTAAGTCAAACATCTGAATGTATACTTTCAGTTACTAGGTAATAAGATTTCATTTCTAAATTAGAATTTAAATGCAGCTTTTCAAGAAATTTAAGAATTTACTAAGTACCTCTTAAAAACGAGAAATCTAAGACCAAAAAAGATCACAAAATTTCTGTGTCCTTGATTACCACAGTTGGCTTTTACTTAGTATGCATAAAATAAACAGCTCAGAAGTTCACCAAATTAAAAACAAGAATCACTTATCAGAAATCTGAAACCCAAGGTAAAAAAGATAATAGAAGTAACCTTAGTCAAGTAAGTCTCCAAGCTGTTAGGTAAAGGGTATGGAATTGAGGTAGAAACCACTACATTTGCTCTTGGAGTAGTTTCAGTTGAGCACTGAAGTATTATTGAAATTTCCAACACAAGGGGGCTCCAGGACTGGTTAGAGTGCTGAGGAAAGATCTGCTCTGCTGTTTCTCCACCTCAAGTTCGGTGCTGATCTCTGCCAGCCTCTCATTATTCCTGGGGAAGATGGAAAACACCAATTTCATTCATGTTTCCCTAAGTGACTTGCCTTTGTTAAGTTGCCGTATAGTAAATGGAATTCCCATTAAACTGTTAGAACATTGAAAGCACAGAGCAGACCCACTGTAAGCAGTGACAGCTATGACCTTGTTCTAAAGAAGCACACGTGTGTCTGGGGCTCCTCAAGTAACAAGTCACAGTTTGAAGAGGAGAGAAAGGGCGTCAGAGAGAAAGGGAGGTGGCCTCACAGTGACCCCTGTGGCCTCTGGGACATGCCTGCCTCCAGGAAACAATTCAGAGATGAAGAAGCATACCTTCCACAAAGTCACGTTCAAGCGCTTCCTTTCACCTCCCTTACATATGTTTCACTCATGACCTCGGAGAAATTAAGCATTTGGCTCTGAGGAGTCATCTAGAGACACAGTCTGGAGGGGAGGATGAGAAAGTCAATGGGTGAGACTGAAGAGAGCTAAAACAGCCCCAGGAACAATTACAAGTATCCCCTGCTTTTCCAAAGTTCACGTTATGTTACTTCATTCCATGAAGGGCCTACGTCAGCACCTGTTTTTGATTTTTAAAAAAAAAATGTGTAGAGAACTTTTGGTTTCATTTTAAAAGGCAAAAAGTCAAAACACTCTTCACTGTATGCGTTTACAGTGTGAGGCACTGGGCTCCCGAAGCAGGGAGACTGGCTCCACGGAGTTCCTTCCCCAGAAGCCACACCCCACATTGTAGCAACAAGTCCCACAGCCCTCAGCCCTCGCTGTGAGCACCGGTGCTTCCCTTGTGCATACTTATTTTATGCATCGACTAGCAGAATGTGTCCTCTGTGACCTGCTTCCTTGCTTTATGCTGTTTTGGCTTGTGGAAGGCTTCCTAGGAATGTTCTGCTTTCAGGTGGGTTACCTGGACTCAGCACTGCTGGTGGGATCTGCCCCTTCCATCCTCCACACACCCCCTCAGTCAGGTCACCATGTTAGTTTCAGCCGCTTTGTGAATTACCCTGCCTTCACCCCTGTGTTAATTTCCCTCTATTTCACAAGCATGCTTTTAAGTAGTGTAGAAAAACTTGATTCGGTATTAACATAGATTGTCTTAGAAGCCTCTATCGGTGACTATCTAGTTAGCTTTCACTTCCTACTAATCTCATGCACCCGGCTCTATCAAAATTGGCTTTTGAGACAAAGTAATGAACTAAATATATTTTCTGTGATTCTGTCTCTTGACTTACTTGTTTAATATATTTGTCAATGACTTTCTGACTTCTAGTGCTTCTAGGTAGATTTGCTTATATTTTTCCAATTCTGCTTTATTAGAATCTTCTTGCAAAGTTTTCATCCTGGAGAGTTCAGGTTCCAAGTATCAATTATGAGTTCCATCTAACTTCTTATGGAAGCATTATTCTTCTCTCATAACTACTCTAAGTTTTCTCAAGATGCTGCTTGTATCTAAGGAAAATGTAAAAAGATAACATTTTTTAAATAATTATAACTTGGATAATTATACTTTTTCCCTTTAGTTTGAGTCAGTGATTCAGAGAACATTTTTAAATGTGAAAAAAAAGAAGAGTGGAAGTATATAACAATTATCATCAATGTGAAGTGAATTAAATCTGATTTATAAAACTAAAGTGGAATCAATGTTATAGGAGTACTTAAATAATCTGATAATTCAAAGAATAAGAAGATCACCTTAAAATTTTAAACACTGAACAAGACAACTTAAGAACAATTCAAGAGGATGGTACTGGTTCTAAACCACAGTATTGTCTTTTACTCCTAATAGTCTTGTTTTATACCAACTGGTCTTATAAGTAAAAGGATTCTCTAGTGAGAATCATTCTGAAAGGTCAGTTTACTGAAAACTGTTATGGAAACTGAAATAGAAACAAGTGCCCCCCTTCCTTTCAGAAATCTACCAAACAAACTGCTCTA